GACAAGAGAACCATCGAGAAGTTTGAAAAGGAAGCTGCCGAGCTTGGTAAGGGTTCCTTCAAGTACGCTTGGGTTTTGGACAAGTTGAAGGCTGAGAGAGAAAGAGGTATCACCATCGATATCGCTCTGTGGAAGTTCGAGACTCCAAAGTATCACGTCACTGTTATTGATGCTCCAGGTCACAGAGATTTCATCAAGAACATGATTACTGGTACTTCCCAGGCTGACTGTGCTATTTTGATCATTGCTGGTGGTACCGGTGAGTTCGAGGCTGGTATCTCCAAGGACGGTCAAACCAGAGAGCACGCTTTGTTGGCTTTCACCCTTGGTGTTAGACAACTTATTGTTGCTGTCAACAAGATGGACTCTGTCCAATGGTCCGAGGCCAGATTCGAGGAAATCGTCAAGGAAACCTCCAACTTCATCAAGAAGGTTGGTTACAACCCTAAGACTGTCCCATTCGTCCCAATCTCTGGTTGGAACGGTGACAACATGATTGAGCCTTCTTCTAACTGCCCATGGTACAAGGGATGGCAAAAGGAGACCAAGTCCGGTGTCGTCAAGGGTAAGACTCTTCTTGAGGCCATTGACGCCATTGAGCCACCTGCCAGACCATCTGACAAGCCACTGAGATTGCCATTGCAAGATGTCTACAAGATCGGTGGTATTGGTACTGTTCCAGTCGGTAGAGTTGAGACTGGTGTCATCAAGGCTGGTATGGTCGTTACTTTCGCCCCAGCTGGTGTTACTACCGAGGTCAAGTCTGTCGAGATGCACCACGAGCAGCTTGCTGAGGGTCTTCCAGGTGACAACGTCGGATTCAACGTCAAGAATGTTTCCGTCAAGGAAATCAGAAGAGGTAACGTCTGCGGTGACTCCAAGAACGACCCACCTCAGGGATGTGCTTCCTTCAACGCTCAAGTCATCATCTTGAACCACCCAGGTCAGATCTCTGCTGGTTACTCTCCAGTTTTGGACTGTCACACTGCCCACATTGCCTGCAGATTCGACCAATTGCTTGAGAAGATCGACAGAAGAACCGGTAAGAAGATCGAGGAGAACCCTAAGTTTGTCAAGTCTGGTGACGCTGCTATTGTTAAGATGATCCCATCTAAGCCAATGTGTGTTGAGACCTTCACTGAGTACCCACCATTGGGAAGATTTGCCGTCAGAGATATGAGACAAAC